GGAGTAAAATAATTTATCATCCAGGCTAGAATACTTTTGAGAGTGAAAGGAAGCCCTAGTAATGCTTATATCAGAATAAAAATTCTGCCCTGTCCCTGGATAAGCTGAAACATGAGTGCACTCTGCCCATATAGGAATCAAGGGTCAGAGAGTTTAGGCAACTTGTCACAGGTCACACAGCTACGAAGTGGCAGAACGTGGATTTAGAGTGAGCAAAGACCAACTCCAGTACACGAACTCCAACCAATGTGCTGGGCTGGATGGCCTCTCTGTTTCAGCACAGATTTGAAGGCCCTTACTTCTTATCTTCTAGCTATCAACTGAGACATAGGCCCTTTCATGGGCGAGAGACAGGCAAGATTCTGTGAAAAGCAAATACCACCAGTCCTACAGTGTGTCCTGGACTGTCAGCTGGCCCCCGAGGGTGCTGAAGCCAGGGAAGCCCCTGTCTCTGTCTGCCTCTCCTCACCATGAGCTCCAGGAAGCACGACTCCTTATGAAGCAGCTCTGACCAACTGGTATCAGATTCCAAGGATGATGTCCTGTGAAAAGACTATCGAAAACTCACCTTGTGAAGTACAATTATTTTTCCTTTCTTTTAAGTGAAATATGTTACAAGGGCACTTCTGGGATGGTCAAGTGCCCTAGAGGTCATGCGTGCATGCATTCTTTAGTCTAGCAGTTCCCTTGATGGCACGGGAAGCCATTCAGTCTCACAGGGCATCGTCACAGCCAAGCTGAGGTCCCTGTTCCTTGGTTGACACCTATATTTTTATTTCCCACCGTTATCACCCCTCTACTTTACCCTGGCTTGGATCATGCTGCACTCTTGCTCTTTCTCTGCTCTTGGCATAGGCTGTTATTTCTACCTACACTATCTTCTTTTTCAGTACTCCACTCAGTATGGAAAACTATGCACCCGTTAGCTTAACAGTCACCGCTTCCAAAAATCCTTTCTAGAGAATTAAAGATGTGATGTGTTTCCTCTCCGCGTTTGTAATATCTTACTTACAGTTCTAACCTAGTCCTATCATTATTTTTTTAGGCTATTTTATTAGACCATAGGCATGGACACCAGGGGCTGAGCTCTGGTTATCTTGGTCTTCCCAGTCACAGAACACAAGGATAACTTGACAAATGCACATGCAGTGAATGAACAGCATGTGTAATGGCATGCCACCCTTTTCATATTCCTCATTTGCTAAGGGTGCTAGAACCATATACTGAATATGTTGGACAGCAGACACTTGAACCTGGGTTAGGCTAGACTTATGGTCTCCATATCCAAATGAAGGAGGAGGAAAATTTATAGAGTACTGAATGTGCACAGTACCCAGTGGGTGCTCAGAAAATGCCCACTTGGTGAATGTACAAGCCATAGAACAGGTTTGCTGCCCATAGGTAGTAGAATGCCACTTTTCAAATGGCAAACTAAGATTCGCCTCTTAAGATTAAAATGGTAGTAAGAGTGAAGGTAGATTTGAACTCAGTCCTACCTGGCTTTTTATAAACCCAAAGGGGTAAAAGGAGCCCTTGCCATCAGGCCTGGAGGCTTAGGTAGGAGGCTCTGGTCTCTCCTCCATCCTTATCGCCACCCTGCAGGAGTCCCTCATGGGCTCTAGGGAATCCTGAGGGCCAGACAGGTGCTCCTTACCCCATACCCTCTGGCCCACACACACCTATATCCACTCACCTGGTCCCCAGGCCCTCCTCAGAGTGACCCTACCTATGCCCACCCTTCAGACCCAGCACTCAGAAGTGATCTGACAGGCTCACCTCTCTTGAGTGAGTAATGGATGCCCTCCCCTTCCTCTAAGTGAGATGCTCACATTTCATAATGCTCTCTTTCCTGAAGATTAAAAATCCACATGGAACAGATGTAATAGTGGGAATTCCAGCAGGCAGGTTGGGGTAGAGGAAGAAAAGAATCTAGAATAAGGGAACCTTAAACTCATACCACATGTGTCTTACCATATTAGTGACTTCTCACATCTCTCTTCCTCTCTCTCTCTCTCTCTCTCTCTCTCTCTCACACACACACACACACACACACACACACACACACTTCCTCTCTTTTCCTCCTCCTCCCCCTACTTGAGGCTTCACCCCATCAGCAGCACTTTCTTAGGGTCTTTGTTCTGTCACAGCTGATACAAAGACCCAGGAGACAGAGGGAAGGGGAATGAAACTGAATAGACAATAAAAAGGAAGAAAGTCCTGCAAACACCCAAACCCCTACAGCAATGACTTGGAAAAAATAATATAAAATCAATGACAAGTGTGCTCCTAGGAAGGACATGCCCTTTCAGTAGCAGTGATTTGACCTGATAATAGCAAGGAGCCAGTGCTTACTAACCACCCACTTATGCCAACCACTTCAAAGCTCATGTAACCCTTATAGTGACCGGGAGGTGGGTGCGATTGGCTCCGCCCCTTTATGAATGAAATAACTGTGGCCTGGAGATGTCAAGCAGTTTTTGCCAGCAAATAAGTGATATGTGATCCAGAACACATCATATTACTTTGTTATTTATAACTTCTCTATTTGAAATGATTTTGTCTCATTGTTTTATCAGTTTTTCTTCTCCCTTTCCTTCCCAATCTACTGCCAAATGTCAGCTAAGAGATGGCAGGGCTCTTGTCTGTCCTATTCACAGATGGGACAGCCCGAGGTCACTGGGCACGCAGTAGGTCTTCAGAAAAGATTTACCTGAATGAAATGGTGGAGTTGGGATTTGAAAACAAAGTTTGTTGCTCCAAGTTCCTTAAACATCATCCTAGTGATGGCATTCATAAATTCCCTGTGGCCTTGCCTGACACACTGAAGTGACCCACAAGATGGCGGCTATGGCTATTGTCCAACTTGAACACATTCTCCATTTGGCAGTGCAGACTCCTCTGTGTAAAACAGAACCGGCACTGACCAAGGCCACTTAAATTGGTTATTCTGGAAGGAATTTTCATATGAAACAAAAACACTGGGTTTCTATGAAGCTCTGGGAACACCCAGAGTTCTGTGATCTTATTAGAGTTTAGGCCAAGTATGAGGCCTGGCCTGGGTCTTGTTGTAGGGATCTGCCTGTTCTCAATCATTACACAGTGTGAAAGCCATAATGGGCCCCATGGGGCAGCTGCAGCCACAGGACTCATTTCCCACACACCAGCATCCCCACCTGGAGCTTCCCTGGCATATTCTTCCCTGGCCACGGGCATGTCCATGCCCAATATACAACTCTGAAAGCAGATTCCAAAGTTAGGGGATTAGGGTTGCCAGTGTCTACATTTCTTTCTCTCTAAGGCACTCATTTAAAAAGAAAAGCATTCTGTCTGCCGATATTCTTTCTTTGTCCTGTACCTTGCGAACTTTATAAGTGAATTTTCTGATTTTAGGGTGAATTCTCTTTGCTAACTTTGGCTTTGAGAGTTCACACTTTGCAGACTGGGCTCTCCAAGAAGGTGTTTTAATTCTTTTAGCCCACACAAGACCTCTGAGCATTCAGAAGCTATTCTACTCACCTAGATGATTCCAGGTCACCCAGGCCAAAGCTGAAGCTCTAATCCCAGGCCAGCCAGGAAGTCTCTGGGAGAGGGGGGAAAGGCACTGAGCAGAAGGGAAGAGTGCATACACTTGCTCTAGCTCTCTAGCTCTATTATGTGTTTGGGCAGTTAAAACATAAACATCTTTGGATGTAGTTCCTTAAGCCAAGCTTCTGTCATCAAGGAACAATACCCTAACTGGTAAGTCAGTGTAAGAACAACCAAGCAAACAAAACCAGCAATGTAAGTGTGTATGACACCGATCCATAGATATCAGAGGACAAGGATGTCATTGAGGACTAGAACGACCGTGGAAGACTTCAGAGCAACGAGAGGGACCTTAGGTAAAGTTTTAGGTGCTGAATGAACATTGGATAAATAAAGAGAAAAGAGGAAGTCCAGATGGAAGGACAGCATAAGCAGGCTCCAAGATGGAAGTGTGGGGGTGGAGAAGGAAAAAACAGAGTACGTAATTGGGCAGGGTGGGGAGACTTGGCAAAAGCCAAAGCCTCATGCAGAAGAGTGGTGAGAAATAGGGCTGAGGAAGGACACAGCTGTTTGGCATATGACTCAACAATATTTACTTAACCTAGTTTGCTGCCCCTTGAAGGAGAGATGGAATGTTCTGCATCTTGAAATCTTAGTTATTCAGGTCACAGGGGAGGGATTTTAAAACCATATCTAGATTCAAGGAAAGGAGCACATTGTCCTTTGCTGGATGTTCCTCAGTCTGCTCCTGAAATATTGGTGTTTCATGAATCAATCCTTCCTTGATTTCTCTGTCTGAACATCTTCTCAAGGCAGACGCATTCCCTACCGTGCCTACAACCACCACCTACGTACTGCATTTTCCGAGTCTGTATCTTTGCTCCTGGTCTGTATTCTTGAACTTCCAACCATAAACTCATCTGTTTGATAATCATCTCAGTATCTCTTAAGTTTAATACCTTCTTACCAAGACCCATTTTTCTCTTGCTTCCCTACTTCTCTTAAAGGTTCTTTCCTTCCTTCCTTCCTTCTTCCCTCCCTCCGTCCCTCCCTCTGTCCCTCCCTTTTATCACAAAGCATTAATTGAATACCTGCTATATGCTCTAGACCTTTTGCATTTGAAGGGTTTCTAGATTAGTGGAACAGGTAGGTGAGTTCAACAACTCATTTTTATTCCTGTAAAAACTATAAAATAACTCCATATGAAATAAATATCCATAAAATGCTGACACAAAGAGAAAGAGACACACCGTTCTGAAAGAATCTGTAAAACTTTCACCCAGAATAGTAGGTTCAAGAAAGGCCTTCTTGGTTAGATAAAATCTGAGCTGAGTCTTAAATCTTGAGAAATCAGTTGAATCAAGAAGAAAAGGCAGAAGAAATAGTATAGGACAGGATACAAAGGAGAATGATCAATTCACATTTGAAAAAGAGTGTTCAGATTCATAAAAATAACATTTATTTAGCCCTCACAATGTACCAGTTACTAAGATTTGCACCTACATTCTGTCTTGTTTTTATTTGACCTTAATAATAACCTCAGAGATAGGTGTATTTTACCCATCGTGTAATTGATTATACTGAGGTCTAGAATGATACCTTCATCCCTGAACTTTTGGGATATGGAGGCAAACTGTAATCTAAGTTTCTCTAACTCCAGAGCCTTAAAACTGGGGAGATATAGGAGGGAGTCAGAGCGGTAAGTAGCAACTAGGTTCTGAAGGGTCTTACAGGCTGCAGGAAAGGGTTTGAATTTTGTCGTGAAATAAATGGGGCCCATTGTAGGCTTTAAAGCAGAGAAGGTAGCTGAAGAACATTTTCATGTGCTGAGGTCACTCTGGGAGAAGAGTCCTGGGTGAACGTTGGGGGTGGCAAGTTGAAGCAGATGGACCCCTCTTAGTCCAGACAGGCTGATGCCATTGGCCTGGTGAGCTTCGTGAGCCTGCGGAGAGAGGCAGAATGGGATGACTTTGCCATGATTGGGATGTAGGGAGAGAGTAGACCAAGAACAGTGCCTACCTAGGACTTGAGTAAGTTAACTTGCTTTCTTAAAAGGAACACCCATTTGATAATTCAGTCAATAGATATCAATGAGTATCTGCCTTGTGCCCGAGTCCTAGGGATGCAATTGATCAACAACATACATAGCCACTGGCCTCAAGTAACCTGTGCTCAAATGATGGAGATAAATAAAAGTCACCTCAGGGAATAAGTGTAAGGGAGAGATATATAAACATATTGCACTTAGCTGAGGGAGGAGGGACACAGGCAGGCCTCCTGGAGGAGGAACGCTCTTGATCTCTTTCTTCATCTGTAGATTTACATTTCTAACTACCAACTGATCACCTGAGCTGGCTAGCCTCAGAATTCCTACCTCAATACATCCAGAATTTAAATTGAACTCATGCTCTCCTCCCTGACATATGCTCCTTTTCTTATGTATCATATTTCATGTCCTGTTTGACTTCTTCATGCAATAAATAGCTTCTTTGAATAGCTGTAAAGTGCCAGTATTCTATCAGGCATGAAGCAAATTAACGTTTCCATTTGGGCTTGAAAATGAGAAACACACAGGTCCTGGGCATCCGGATGACATATTTGAAATGATATTACAAGACAACACAAGCAGCAACACAGCACACCAGTTTTCACATTCCTGAATTTGGTACTCCCTGTCAAAGATGCAGTTCAACCAGATGAATCCACAGAACTGTGAGGCAGGTTGTACTTTAAGGGAAAGCAGAAACACTGCTCCCCTGCCACCATGCTAAGGACCACACCGAGGTAAGAGTGACACTGCTCACCCCCCAAGCTCTGCCTCCAGATGGAGGAAACAGGCAGGGGGTGTCAGACAGACTCCACGCTGCTGCCACTCTTCAGTTTGGCTGGAGTGTGGACGATGAGAACAGCTTGTAATGTTCTCGTGATAAAGGCAGAGATTTAATGGAACGTTTCTACTGAGCACAGCTTGCAGTCTTTCACACAGTTCTATCCTTCTCCAGAGCAGCTCAGTCTTTGCTTCTGTGAAGGCACAGTTCTCAGCAGAAGCTTTGTGATTAAGGGGAGAGAGGAAGCATGATGATAAAGAAGATTCCAGGGACAATATGCAGGCCCAGAGGGGGACGTCTCCCACAGAACCTACCACCGAGCCGTGTTCCTAACACGCACTCCATAGTGCTCAATAAATGAATGAAAAGAGAACGCATGCACGGAGACGGTAACCACGAAGGCTGCTGGAAAGCCCTGGGGTGGAACAGGACAGCAGCACACATTCACTTTTCAATAGGGTGTTTTCAGTAATACACTTCTGTATTTGACTTGCTGATAGTTTATTCCTAAGGATCCTAGGGAGAGAACAGAGGCTGAAATGCCATAATTTGTCCTCGTACATTCTGAGATCAATGCACTGGGGAACTTCTGCCAAATCTGCCCTCTATGTGGCCCCAGGAGAGTTCTGAGCAGCTGCATATTTCTAGAGAGAGCTCCTGTCATTGATCTAAATGGTAAAGCTCATATTTCCAAAGCTGTGGTAGAAGAAAGAGGTAACAGGGAGGCAATTTTTCAACATGCTTTCTCATACAGATGTTTTCAAACAGTTCTTCCTAAATCTCAAAGCTCCAGACCCCGACCCAGCTGCCCACAATCTACAACAGACCTCAAAAATTCAGCACCAGCACACTGAAAGCTCAGGCCCAAGTTAAAACAGAAACCAAAACAGATAAACAAACAAAACTCTCTTTTCTGTATCCAGTGAGATATGCAATCTCTATCAACTCATCTAACCATTGGCTTAATCCCAGCTGGAAACATGGACTGTGCTTCCAACATTTGAAGAATTTTACATGTCTCCTCATTGCTTGGTTGAACCTCTGGCCAAAAGTCAAAACACAAATGTGCCCTTAGAAAGTGAATCCTTGATTCTAAAACTCACTCTGAGTGAGGAAGCACTTTCCACTCATGAGCAATCTTGTTCTCACAAGTTAGATAATTTAGATAGATCTTTGGGGTTTGGAAAAGTTTGAAGAACACGCTGCAGTCCAGGGCCATTGAACAAACTGAACTGTTTAACCTTGTAAAGTTTGCACAATTCTCATCACAAGTCTAGTCAGAAAGTGGGAGCTGAACTTCCAGCTGCAAAGGTTCTGTGTTCTGGGCCCAGAGCCCAGACACCCTTGTGGGGGTGGGGATGGCATGAGCAGCACCTAGAGTGCATTCTGGTTGGAAAGACAGGAGTGTGACAGGGAGGTCACAATTACAATTGCAACTGAAAGAGATGGAAGAAGCAGAACCACCCAAATTTCATGAGTATTTCTGAGGTTACTGGTCATTTCTCAGCCACAGGGTCGCTGATGTGGTCAGTGGAACAAAGAGCACGGCTGACCACTTCCTCCTGACCTGTCTTGCTAGATCTCTGCCACACCTTAGGCCAGCTCTTCCTTACTGGTCTTTAGCCACTGTTATTCCACACTTAGAGCTGAGCAGATGCAAGGAGGGTCAGGATAGCTCCTTGAGCATCAGATCTATAGGAAGGAGGAGGGTCAAGTATAGTACATACAAGCTCAGGGATCCAGAATTAGTGCAGAGTCAATGCAACTTCCACAACCACAGCAAGATATTTTCTTGGATTTTCTCTCTTGAATAGTTATATCTCTTCTTAGTCTAACTGCTATTGTTTAATTGATGCTATGTTTGCTACCACTGGAGTTTGATAGACCTGTAATTCCTGAAATAATAATTTTAGACTACAGTTCTGACATAATTTTTATGATACTATTTATACCTTCTTGGGCATTGTCTAATTGGATACCATTAAATACCATATTAGCAAAAACAGAAGCACACTTTCCCTTAAACCATCACATGACCATTTGGAAACTTTTAAAATAATAAAAATCATCTTGATATGTTATGAGCACTTATTAGAAATCTATAAAAGTAACTAAATATTTACTTCAACAATTTTATGTTTTATTTGAGAAACATCATATGATATACAACATAATGTTCTGACATATGTACACACTTGTGGCATGACTAAATCCAGCTCTTAGACATATGCACTGCCTCACACACTTACCTTTTTAAGATAAGAATATTTAAAATATACTGCTGGAAATTCCAGCTATATAGTATGCTCTTACTCACTGGAGTCACCACGATGTGAATAGATCTCTTGAACTTTATCTTCCTCGCTAAGTGAAATTTTGTTTCCTTTACCTAATTCTTCCCTAATTCTTCCATCTCACCAGTTGGTGATCACTATTCCATTCTCTTTTTCTATTCGTTTGACATATTTGCTCTTCACTTGTAAATGAAATTGCATCATAGTTGCCCTTCTGTGCCTGGTTTATTTTACTTCATGTAATGTTCTTGCATGTTCACCTGTGTTTTCATAAATAACAGGATTTCCCTCTTTTCTAAGGCAGAATAGTATTCCATTGTCGTATATTCCACTTTTCTAAAACCCATCTATCCATTGATGGGCACTGAGGTTCACTCCTTATCTAGGATATCATGAATATTGCTACAATGAGCATGAAAGTGAAAATATCTCTGAGACATAGTGAGCTCATTTCTTTTGGATATAAGTCCAAAAGTAGGATTGTTGAATCATACAGTAATGCCATTTTCATTATTTTATGAACTTCTATACTGTTTTCCATAATAAGTGTGCTAATTTACATTCAGCATACAAGAATTCCCCTTCTCCATGTCACTGTTTATCATTAATCTCTGTGAAAACAGTCATTTGACAGTTATGAGCTGTGATTTTAATACCCATTCCCCAGATGATTAACGACTGTCATGGTTTATATCTGGATGTTGCTTCACAGCCTCATGTGATCATAGCTAGGGAGTTTCAAAGGTGGCTGGATTAGCGGGTATGAATGTGGATTAAGGATATGATGGTGGAATTGAGGGTGTGCCACCCTGGGTATGAGTGCTACCAATCACTAGGTTTACAGCTTGGATAGAATATAAAGGGAGAGAGAGAAGGGTGCTTTGGCTGCTCTCACTGTGGGCTGCTGTGTAATGGAATGTTTCTCCTCTGTGAGCCCCTCTGCCATGCTGCCCTGCCTTGGAGCCAGCTGACTATGCATTGAAACCACTACAAACCTCTATAAACCTGTCCTCCTTTAACTTTGGGTATTGAGCATTTTGTCTCAGCAGCAAGAAAATTAACTAAGACAATGACATTGAGCATTTTTTTCATATATCCACTGGATATTTGTATGTCTTCTTTGAGGAAATGTCTAATAAACCTTTTTTCCATTTTAAATTGGATTATTATTTGAGTTGCTAGAACTCTTTATATAATGTAGTATTAGACACTTATTAAGTGTATGGCATGTAATATTTGCTCCCCCCATAGTCTGTCCATGGTACCCAAAGTGATACTGTGGACAGACTGAAGGATGTCTCTTTAGTCTGTTGTTTCATTTGTTGTGCAGCAGCCTTTTAATCTGGTATAATCCCATTTGTCTGTCTCTGTTTTTGTTGCCTGTGCTTTGTTTTGGAGTCATGTCTGAAAAAATCATTGCCCAGACTAATGTCATGGAGCATTCCCCATATATTTTCTTCTAGTAGTTTTATGATTTCAGGTATAATATTTTAAGTCTAATCTACTTTGGATTGATTTTTGTAAATGGTGTGAAATGAGGGCCTAATTTCATTCTTCTGCATGTGGCTGTCCAGTTTTTCTTTTTGGCACCGTTTATTGAAGATGCTATCTTTATACCATTTTACATTCATAATAACTTTGTTGAAATTCAATTGACCATATATGTATAAATTTATAACTAGGTTCTCTATTTTGTCTCACTGGTTTCTGGTCTGTTTTTATGCCAGTACCATGCTTGATTACACAGCTTTGTAATAGATACCATTGTGCCCCAACTTTTTCCTATTTCTCAAAGATTAATTTTACTCTTTTAAATTTTT